CTAACAATCTCATCTCATTTTATTAAGAAAATATGCATCGCTTTCGCTCCCAACCATACTCCCACATCGGTTCCGCGGAAAAAACTGCCCTCATTGAATTCGCAATTAAATGTGAGAAAGCGATCCTGAATGATGATCGACAAGTGGCGGTTGCGGATAAATGCATCTACTCTGATGTTGAACTAGCTTTACACCGATCGAATTCGAACTGAAAACCGACTGTCGACCAAGGTGAGTAAACATATCCCGGACAGCACATCTACTCGGGGTCAAACTATTACAGGTTGTGTACCGCCATCCCTTGGACACACACGACACGGCAGGAACAAGACGAATGTTTTGANGAATGTTTTGAGTGTACATATGGGAGAGATCGCAAAGCCCAAAGATGCTGAGACAATAACCAACCGCCAGCGGAAGTTTATCTGTGTATTCCGCAGACTTAGTGATACAAATGATTCTGTCTCAGAACTCGTCACACACTGCTACACGATTACCCTGCACCCGCATCCTCGATCACTCTCTTCCTCATGAGCACACATCCAAAACGGCAGATTTTTTTCATTCTCAGCAAGTTTTCAATTTTATAACGTACATCTCGTTTCGTTTCCATGATAATTGCCGAATGCTGCAAAACCCCTTAATTTTTGGTAATTACTTCCCATCAGGCTCCCTGGATATGGATCTCTGGATCATTGTATTTAACGGTTAGAAGACGATGAGTGCCCTAACTAGAGGCACTCACGCATTTTCTCAATTTCTGGGCAACATTACTCTTTCTGACTTTTCTATTTTCATTTTGACTCTGATTTGACTCTGATTCCAATCTTCCTTTTGCTTCTTCATTCAAATGTACACCTTAAACTGGCGCGCATAGTTAATGGCTGGAGAAGCGGAAAGTGGAGTTGCGACGTTAGAACAACCACGCAATATACATCTCCAACTATATTGATTTGTTCCCCATAGTTCTATCGTATAACCGAATGTGTGTGAGCAGCTAAGCGGTTGAACACGAAACTAGTGTTCTTCTGTTCCGGACCAAATGAGTTAAAAGAGAAAATGATTCTGATACCACTAGTCCGACTGTCGTCCGTAACGTCCTCCAATCTACGGAGCAAAGAAAAAACAACATTTATCGAACAAGTACGTGAAATTCCCCCCCCCCTACACACATCCTAGATCGAACAATCACAATAGGCACGTGGCCACCGAATGCGTCCAATGCTGGAAAATCTATGAACCACTGACTACTAGATCAGCCAAATTAGACGAGAAAGAGAGAGAGATACAACCAGTAAATCCTAAGAGGGAAAATGCCGTCAGTGCACCGGTTGATCACATCCAGTCTCTAATAGTGTAACACACGCGTTTCAAAGTGAATCCGGACAAATTCAAAACTTCTCATTGGTACCTTTTATATTGTCCTCCTTCAACAAATTCAGCTTCAGCTTCAGTTTAAACAATCATTAAGCATGCATTTCTGTGAGACGCTTTTGGTGGCTGTTTTTGGCTACCCATCTGGATGAAGAATAGGGGAAGACAGGAAAGTTTAAAGTAGAGTCGAAGAGAAAATTGAAACGCTCAATGGACTAATGAAGCAGAGAGATTGAGAAGAGACACGAACGCCACTGTTTACGACACCCAGCCATATCACTCAGTGTCTCTAACCATCGGTTACGACCATCACGAGGTCTCCAGTCAGGAAGCCTAACAGGACCTACTTGACCCAGAGCCCCGCTTAGGGTCTTCATACCCTCATGCCAGGTCGTAGCTTGACCACCCTTCAACAAATACGAGGTAATCTTGTGTAATTAGGGTTTTATCGATTCACGGCTTCATACATCTTACTCTCACAATTTAACCGATTAGAATGAAACTATCTTGACTTAGTGTCACAAGAGAATCGCAATTACAAACCATGTGTGAGTGGCTGTGTAAGGTAGCGACCGGCCTGATGGCATGAACGGAAATTTTCTGCTCTCACTGGGCATGTGGTCAACACAGTCACTTTGAATAAATTTAATCTCATTGATTGTGAGGTTAAAAAACTCGTGAAATGGAATTATAACTCGGGGTTTGAGAACGGCGTAAATTCTTGAAATGACCAGTGAAAAATGGAGGCGAAATGGTAATCCGCGTAGTTTTCCATCACATGACAGATCATGCGACGAAAAGTGAAGACTGGCGTCTACCGTGATTTTGTATTGGGTATTGAGCGAAAATTATCTTTTCAGGGTCGGATAGGAAACACTTTGGGAAACGGGAAATACGGTCCAAACATTTGGTTCGGTTAAAAATAAGACCGAAATCAACGGAAAAACCTTCGCAGATTGAAAAGATTGCTTTAAAAGATAATCAAATGTGGGGTATCGAAAACGATGCGACTTGGGACCAAATCATTCAGGCAAACTAAGAGACACCTCATTGAGATAAGCAAAGAAAACGCGAGAAGTGGCTGCAGTTTGAATTACTACGGATTCAAATACAAACGGCAGAGATGATCTTCAATTCTGCCCGACAGTCTGCTACCTTCTCAGATAGATGGTGTGCTATTCTTGCCAGTCGAGAACGGGGGTATTCAAAATGTTCTCGTTTACTAAGAAGAAGTTATCTAAGAATGGAGTCAAAAGCCAAACAATAATCGAGGAAAATGCGAAGCATGTATTTTTTCAGCGATTTGTTGATGTAGTGGGGAAGGGAAGAGAAAACATCCCAGGTAAACGCGATTGGTTCGAACACGAATTGGAAGGGATCGTGGGATGAACCGACAGAGAGATTCAGACGGTTAAGAATGTATTTATTCACTAAGAAAATGACGAGATTAGTAGAAAAATCATCTACCACGATCTTAGTCCACCTACGAGTGCAACCGTCTCGCAATAAGGGCTTCTACCTATTGGACAGGTGTTGTACATGGCGGTTATTCAACTGTCCAGTCGTGCTGTTTGCACACACCGGTAACGAACAGAAGCAACTATAGGTGGACAATTAATGTCACGGGCTCGCTAGATGAAGACAGACCTCAAAACGGGAAATTGCATGACGTTCTCAGATTTCACCCTGGGCTTCAAGGATGGCGAACATTCATGGCTTGAAATATCAGAATGTGTGGTTTAATATTGGATCCGGTGACGCGCCTAATGTGAAACTGTTACCGGATGAGACACAACTAAAAACATTTTCCGCAGTGCCTTTTCCGTATGTTGTGGAACCTGAGCTTACCTGTTTACATGTTGTTTATTTAACCCGTGGGTTCAAGAGCAACGATAACACGAGAACCACTTGAAAGAAGTCCCACAAACTTTCAAAACTACGCGGACGGAATGAATTGTCATAAGGCGTCCGGTTAAATAATCTTGATGGACAGAATAAGGGATGGATACGCACAAGCACTATTCAAGCAAGACAATCTGAACCGGTCAGGAAAACAGACATTTTCCGAACTGTATTCTACTGCCATCAGAAAAAATCACCTAGATTTAGAAGAAAGTTCAATCACATATCCATGTATCAAATCAAAAAGAAATAAAACATGAAAATAGCACGAAATGGAAACTCACAATAGCAATGACAGGAATCAGTTGACCATGACTTCGCGCAATAGCGGTCTTACGAGTATTGACAACGCAATGGTGCCGGCCGTGACGAAATGCAGCAAAATCAGTGGAGGGGGGTTGCGTGTGTGAGAGAGAGAAAATGAAAAATTACGCCTAATATCAGAGAACGGAAGAGTGGAAACGATAGAACCAAAATAATCAGCCCTTGATTGTATAGTGCAGATGTGTTTCCACTTCAGTGAAAATGTGTATGCTCACTATTACACAGGGATGAAAAAAGGATGGAAATGTCATATGTGATCGTGCTAAAAGTGGACAGACAGAGGATCTTTGATGCATATTTATGAACTGTTCATGTAGAACTTCGTGTCTGTCTGTTGAGATGTGAGTCAAGTAGGGGAATCATTGAATCAATCGTTAGCAGCGAAAAATGGACCTAACTGTGGTACGAGAAGGGCATACGGATGGATCCGGATCGGGAGGTGGGTGGAGTCATTGGGAGCTTTAGAGGTCACTTTTACACAAGAGGATGTGTCATCACACAGATTTGTGACTCGTCCTCTCGGAACAGAGAGAGAGAGAGAGAGCAAAATGGTTAATAATCGGAAAGCCGCAGCGAAGTAACAATATCCTTTTTACAACCAAGTAAAGGAAATGACAGAGCGGTAAAGTATGCTAGAAGAAATGTAGTGATAAAGAGGGCAACGAATAGTTGAATATGTCGCACTGAATCATAACACCTTGTGCACATGGAAGAATAGTCGACTTAGTGCAGAAACAGAAGAAGTGACTTCTAGGTATTCACTCCGTAGTTTGAGTTTTTTATAACCGATATAGCATGATATGGTTCGGGAGATCATTCCAGTAAACAAGACAATACGTAGAGCGAGTGGGATAAACGGGAACTTCAGCATTTGAATGTGATGAGCAATATAGAAAACAATGAGGTAAATGATTCCGGAACGGACGAAACCGGAGTCGTCAGCCCATAGGATGAACAAGGCTGATTATTTCCCATCAGTGCGACGACTTTTACTGCTCATCCAGTATGACATAAAAGGGAATTAAATGCGTAATACCACAACAATTTTAAATTTCTCTCCTCATATGATACTATATGGTGGGGAAGTTAAAAACTCAAAACATTGAATCGATAAAAGAAAATTGTTACCGTGAAACAGCATACAGAACGTCTGAGTGAAGAGAAAGGCATGTGGTAAAAGAAAAACATTCCATTATAACCATTGGAACTTACCAACGATCCGTTCTTATTATCACGCTCCATTTCCACCCCCAGATGAACATAGTGTTCCAACAGCCGACTCAAGAATCGATATAGTTTTGGTGCACCTTGGACAAAAGCCGCCAAATTGGCAAAGACGTTGACCACTGCCTGAGAGAGATAACTGGATAGAGAAAGAGAAAGTTGATGGCAACATTGCACACGTACCGGAATGTCGGTATAAATGAACCATCACTTGTATATTATTGAACCATTCCACTTCGAAAAGCAAAACTTGATGAATAATGCCAGTTCATCCTAATCTAAAACAGGATGATTTGGAAACAAGCAGCACCGATAAGGCCCATGATTACTCCGGTTATCGACCAAAGTTTCAGTGTACAAAGGGCTAACTAGTTCGAGAAACCTAGTGGTATTCTGACAATTATTCGCTATTCGTGGTGATCATGCCGTACTAACAAACCGAAAACCAATGCCATTTTATCTTACCTGCAAGAAATCCGATCGAAAGCGATCAAACTAAATGTGATGAAAGGCGCGGTCACAATACCGTTCGACTTCATATCTACTTAGCAAAAGTAAGAAACTGCGAAAAACTTATTCTTCCCGGGAAAAAATATCAGGCGTATGCAAAGGAGATGGAATCAGGGGCTAGGTGGGGAAACACCCAGCAAATATTCCAGCTCATCCGTGTTACAGGCCCCCCAAAAGACAGTGCGTTAATGAGACAATCTGCGAAGCAGACGGCACGCTAATAAACAGCTTACACCTATGCTTGGAATGCTGGGCAGAGCACTTCACATCGCAGTTCAACCAGCCCCCCCCCCCCCC